CCCCAGCCCTTGGCAGGGGGTGGCTCAGACTTCCAGCTTGGTGTGCAAAAAAGGATCATCTTCCCCCCGTTTTCTTTTCCCATTGCCCAGAACCTCTTTATCTGGTGGAGTGGTGGAAACTTGATTCAAACAAACGCTGTACAAAACCCACCCATGGCCTGGTTTGCAGCAGGACCATCCTGGGGACTTCATAGAAGGGGACCTGAAAACCGGGGCTCAGGGGAGTCCCGGTGCTGTTTTCAGTTCCCCAGTGCCGCAGCTCGGCTCGGCCGGAGGCACCCTCCCAGCCGGTCCCCCGCGGCGGAGGGACATGCGCCCGGAGGTCAAGCGGCCTCAGGGACGTGGCTGTTCTCAGCCCCGGCGAGGGACGAGGGTGGCCTTGGGGTCACGTTCCCCATCTGTGGGATTCTCCCCCACTCTGGCCACGTGGGAGCCCGGCAGGAACGAGTGAGTCACGGCCAGCCCCGCTTTTTACCGTCAAAGGTCAAAGTGAGCACGAAGCCACCGCCGGGTCCCTGGAGAGCCCGGCTCCGGAGCTCCCAGCCTGGCCCTGGCCTCTAGTATTTTCCTTTCATTCCCATTATCTCTGGGGTCATCTCAAAGGGGGTAACCGGAGCCTGATGGAATTTCATCCTGTTTCTGCCGAAATGGCCCGTGAACAGCCAGCACCTCTCCCCGGTCCCCCACGGGGACCACGCGGCTTTGCAGCCGCTCCCGGGACAGCGCGTGCAGGGCTGGTGCCACAAGACAGCACCCGGGGGGTGAAATGTGGCCCCAAAGCAGCCAGGAAAGCAGCAGCAGCAGTAGCGTGTGACCCTGGGAAGTGATGACCAGGAATTAGTTCACACCGTCCTGCTGCCTTGTCTCACCCCGGCTCTCGCCCTCCACGCAGGCAGCACCAGAGGGCTGGCAGCCCGCTGGTCCGGCTGGTTTGGGGGGGGCTCCTCCCCGGGAGCAGAGCAATGCCGTGGCCCTGAGAGGGAGGCAAGGGACCGGGTGACAGTGCGTGTCCCCCTGGGGTTACCTGGGGAGTTGGGGGCTCTACTTTCCTCTTCTTCTTCTGATTCTGCTTGTTTGTCCTCGGATAGACTATCAGCATCTCCAGCCACCTGCAGGCAGAGAAAGCAAAAGGTGAGGTCTGTGCCGAAGGGCAGCGTGCAGGGACGGGAGCGATGCTCGCACTCCACCATGGGGTGTAACACAGCTTCCCACAGGCCACGGACCCCAAAGCTGTTCTCCCCCACGGGTGGCTCTGACCACACTGCCCAGGGAGACGCTGCCCCTATCCTGCTTCTGGGGCAGGCTGCCTGCAGGTTCCAGAGACGGAGCATCTGCATTTCACCCCTAACCCCAGCCTTCCGGGGTTTGTAACTTGACCATAAGCACAACCCCGAGCTGGAGCTGGGCACGCGGAGGAGCTCAGCTTCTCTCCAACCTCGTCAGGGTCAATGTGGTAAATAGTACCCAGAAATCATCCCAACCAGCTCCTGGGGGAAAAATGAGGCAGGACAGGAGGGGAGGAGGGATGACCCCAGGGTGCTCTGGCTCAAACCCTACTCACTGCAAGAGCGAGGCCAAGGCTGACATGGGACAGGGATTCAAGGACCCTGAAAGACAGCCGAGAGGGACAGAGCCTCCGGCAGGACCTTCCCCCTTCAGCGATGCCAATGCCCGCACACTGCACACAAAGCGCTTTTGTCCAAGAAAGAGCAGCGTGATCTTGGCATTGAGAAGTCCATCCCCTGCACAAGTCGCTTGTTTGGGGGACCCTCCTGTGCCCTCCCACCGTGGCCTGACGACCTGCCCCTGCATCTCTGTGAACTCCACAGGGATCCGTGGACCGCTGGGAAACATTCCTGCTTCAGATGTCCCCTCTCCTGTTCCCCCCACTTCGCACGCTGCTGCTGTAAAGCGTTCTGAGATAACCACATCAAGTGGGTTTTGGTTAAGCAATAAATGCCAGAAGCATGCAATGAACGTAAAACAAATTCTCCCCTGGCTGGGGAAATCTTCCTGTCGTGCTGCAACTGCAAATGAAACCCGCCTGGCTTGGACCCAGAGCGGGACTGTTTCGGGATGATTAATGCTTGCAGTCAGGAGCAAACGCGCTGCTTCAAAATCCAGCGCCGGGCCAATGAACAATAAATCAGCCCCACCTTGCTCTGCAATGGCTCTCCCTCCCGTCTGGCAGGCAGGACTGGCAACAAAAGCCTGAGCTGCGAACCGGAGCGTGGGGAGAGGGAGAAGAGAGCAGGGCATGGGGGTTGGCCATGTTTTGGGGCATAGCCATTGCTCCTGCCTTGGCTGGAGGAGAGGAGCCGGCTCCCCGTGCCATGACTCCCCTGTGCCTCTGCACCCCAGCTCTGCAGCCGCTGCAATCCCACTGCTGCAAACAGGACCCGGGGGGGGGGTGGCCGTGCCGCTGGAGGACAGGTCTGCCGGCCCGAGGTGGTGCACGGAGAGGGTACGCTCACGTGTCTCAGTAGAGCAGGGAAGTTTCAATGCATGAAAACATGTATCTGATCAAAATCCCAGACTCTTGGTAGAAAAATACCTATTTCAACGAGTATTTACCAAAATGGGGGGAGTCACAACCAAAGAAAATGCTTGGAAATAGAAATCATCTCCACAGAAAGCACTGACTCTGCTGCTGCCAGGGCTTGGGCAAACAGGAGACGCTGTGCCTCGGGAAGAGTGGGGAAGAGTGAGCGCTTCGTCCCTTCAACTTTCTGCTCTAGTTTCTAATGTCAACAAATTCAGGGAGGGAGGCACTGAGCTCCAGACATCCCACATGGGAAACTCTCACAGGTGAGCAGCAGCACCGTTGCAGTCTGTCACTGTGTGCCGGTGGCTCGGCTCTCCCGCGGCTCTGCACGCTCACCAACGCCGGCTTCAACCCAAGCCGGCACGTGAGCAACGGACAAGGATTTTTCTAGGTCACCATCCAACACCTGGAGTCAGGAAATCTACCGCGATTTGCTCATTTTAGTGGCCTAATCTTCAGTGTTGCTGAGCAACTGCATCCCAGCGGCAGGCGCTCCTATGAGCGATGATATTTTAATCGTCCTCGGAGGTCAGATGCTCCACTGGAACCAGGGGGCTGGGCTGCATCTACCCCCTCTGCCAGCCTGCCCGCAGGGAGCGAGCGGGGCGAGGCAGGCACTGTGAAGGCAAGTCCAAATGGGGACTGGGTAAATGTAGAGCAGGCAGCCCCAGGAGGCCACGTCTGCCCAGGGATGGACGAGGACCAGGGGGCATATGGCGCTCGGGGTCGGACACGCCAGCCCCAGGACTACGGGACCTGCCGCTGGTGTGGGGACAGGACCTGCGCCAGCGGGCTGGGTGCCTGATCGGATGCTGTCCTAAAAGCACCGTGGGGTCACCCCAGCACCCATCGGCTCCAACCCCGTCCTGGTGTTCACCCTGCGGCCAAGCTTCTTGCCCCGGCCAGTAAATAGCTGCTTTCTGCTGGGACTGAAGCTGTCGTGGCCAGCCCAGGAGCACCTTGGCATCAGATGCACCCTCTGAGCATCCCACAAATGCTCCAGTGTAGCTCAGCTCGCTCCCGGGGGTAAACGCCACTGGGAGTGTTGTTCTGCAGCGGGGAGCAGGACATTGCCCAACAGCAGACAACAAAACTGACCTGAAAACAGTGGCCTTCACAAGTAATGAGTGACTCAGGAGCATCTCAGCTCCGGGGCCTGGCCAAGGCTCCCGGCAGAGGCTGAGCTTCCTTGAGCACGGGCTCTGAAAGGTGTCCGGCATGTTGGGAAGCCTCAGGCTCCAGCCCGGCACGGCCAAGCACGCGTGCTAGGCGCGGAAGAAGGACTTAAATCGTCTGCCGCCGCACAGGTCTCCGCTGAAGTCAGTGCTCACGCTCACACCATAAATCTGGTGGCTCAGGGTGTGCTCAGGCCCCTGCTCTGCTGCAGAGCACCGGGCGATGGCAGGGGTCCACCAGGCATGGGAGTAGGGAAGGGGAAAAAAACCCCATCCTTGCCAAAAAGGCGGAGAAGACCGGAGCTGACCGCGAGGCAGCAGCTACACCCAGCCCCCAGGACTGTCCCTGCAGCTGGCTGTGATCGTCACTCTGGGATCAGCCTGGGTACGCACCACCACAGCACCCGGCCTTGGGCAAGGGCCTACCCGCCCTCTTCTCCCTCCCGGCTAAGGGAAGAGCCCCGTGGCGGCTCAGCCCCGGACCTGCACTCACCCGCTGATGATCTCCTTGTTCTCGGCCCGGATGAAGTGCTCCTTCTCCGGCGTCAGGATGCACAAGGAGAATTTCTGCCCTGTCCGGCTCTCCCCATCCACTACATCTGTGCACTGGTTCATGTTGATGGTGCCCTGCGGGAGGGTTGTTGGCTGCGAGTGGAAAGAGAAAGGAGTAACGTTTAAGGAAAGAAGAGCAGATGAGTGCAGAGTTGAGTCCTAAAACCCCTCCTGGTGTACACCAGGATCCTACACACCAAGATGCTCTGCCCACGAGTACCCAGACCCATCCGTGCGCCGTGCTGGCACACAGCAAAGCCCCGTGCCGCACATCTGGGAACACAGACCAGCAGACACGACTCCTGCCAGCCCAGCCCAGCCCAGCCCAGCCCAGTCCACTGTTGCCAGCAAGACACTTCTCCTATGCCGAACGCCCAGGGAAGGACGGCTGCCCCGCTGCAGCACGGGGACACCAAGGCAAGGCACCGAGTGGCCAGCTTTGGGTTTGCAGCTGCAAACCATCTGGGGTGGTGGGATGGCACCTGGGGACAGGGGGTGGCAAAGCAGCAAGGCCCCACTGCCCTCAGCGCAGGATGGCTCAGGCACTATAGACAGAAGGACAGATACACATGCCAGGTTTTTCCCATTAAAGTTAATAAAACATGGAGTTTGCCAGGGAGGGACCGCCGCATGGAAGGGACCTTGTTTGTCTGACGGACTTTGCAAACACACTGTCACCTCCCGGCCCCCTTGCTCCAAGCAGACGCAGCGGAGTGGGACAGGCGGTGGCCCCCCTGGCCCAAGGGGACGCGGAGGGACCCAGAGGGGTGTCAACACTGACAGGAGCTGACAGGTCCATCTGGAGCGGCGCCGGCTCATCTGATTACAGCGTGGCCACTCGCTCCCGGTGCATGGTGCCCACAGCCCTCCCTTCCCGAGCAGCAATGCCATGTCTCCCCCATCCCCAGCCTGCCTGTGTCCCACCAGGCTTGGTAACGCTGGGGTCCCCCCGGCATCCCGGCACAAACCTGCACCTGGGGCATAAATGACCAGGCGCAGGGACCCCCCCGAGCTGCCAACGGCACCGAAGGAGCACCCAAAGCAGCCCGCGGCCACCTCCTCACCCTGCCAAAGCCTCCTTGAGCCCTCCAGATGGCTGGGCCAACAGGGAGACGGATTTTTGGCAGATGCTGTTAAGGTTTTTACCATGGAAACCGGCTCTCCTGCCAGTAAAACCCTCCAAAAGCAGCCTGTGCCATGCAAAGAAGGGGCGACTGGGTAGAGCTCAATGTCCCCAGCCTACGACCCCAAGAAATTCAGATCAGCCCCCCGAGGCCCCTGGTTTACCCATCTGCAGGCTGTGGGAAGTAGCCCCCTTCCCCAGGACAAGGGCTTTCCCTGCAGCTGTGTCCCTGGGCAGGAGCATCCTACAACAGCCCAGGGTGGCATGGAGCCATCACGGGTGCTGCAGCATCGGTGCGCAGCATGGGCACACGAACAGGACCGGTCGTACATCAGGGACACCAAAACCTCCTCTTTTCCTTCGTGGAAACCAGCATCAGCACCCACAGACCCCACAGGACTGGAGGGAGGGAGGGAAAGCAAAGCCAAGCCCAGAATCCCGGCACGACACATGCACAGCCGCCCGCCCTGCACTGCCGCGGGTAGTCGGCACCTAAGAGGATTTTTTGTCTTAGACAACAAAAATAAAACCCTGCTTTCCGGGAGCTATAAGAACCCAACGGAAGAACTTTCTCCTGCTCCAAGTGGAGTCTTAGAAACAGTTTTTGTCTCACTGGCCTTTGGCACAGTCAAGGCCTCCAGGACTGTAAGGTCTGGGTCCGACCCCCTTTCCCACCCAGAGCATTTTTGCACCAGGGAATGCAACCAGGACAGGGCAAAAAGGGGATGAGGGCGGCTCTAGGAGGGAGCCCCAGTCCCTCTCAGGGACCCTGGACCACTCAGTCCCTCTTGCCACAGGCACCCCTCGACTCCCTGGGAGGCCCTGCAGGGATATGGCAGGGAGCTGGCACGGGAGGAGAGGAGGAGACGGCTCCCTGAGAAACCCGCCTGCTCTCCTCCCTCTTTAACCCCACGGCAGCGTTCAGGGCGGCTTCCTCCGCTGCTCACACCCAGCCCCGACCCAAGCACTGGAGCAGAGGAGCCGGTTTGGGGCCCCCACACCGCCAGGCTGGCCCTGTGAAGTGGTTTTGCTGCGCACCCCTCCTTGTGAGGGTGAACGTTGGCATCTCCCACAGTCCGACGCATGGGTCCCCGTCCACCACGGCACCTCCGAGCCGGGATGCCAGGAGAGGGGCTGCAAGCAAAGCTGGGACTGCCTCCCTTGCACCTGGGGCCAGGGACAGGATGGGCACCAGGAACAAACCCTCCACCCCATGGCCGCTCCCCTGCACCCCCACACCTCTCGGCAGCAGATGAAACCTGACGGACCAGCAGCCTTGCTCACTTGGGATGTAAATTCCTTTACACCATTTATTTCCTTCCTTGGAGGCAGCACAGGCACTTTGAAGGAAAGCAAAATGCAAATGGTGCCAGGTGGAAACGCGTGCACGCAAACTCCACCGAGGAAAAGGACGGGGCTCGGGCAGCACTGCACCCCAGGAGAGCCTCAAAACCGGCTGGGGATCCCTGGTGGAGGAGCTGGCGATGGCACACAGCTGCTCTCCCCAAGGAACCAGGAGAACAGGGACAGCCCTCGCATGCTGAAGCTGCGGGGCGGTGGTGTGGGAGCAGGGGAGATGGGAGAGGCTCTGCAGCAGGGGACGAGGACACACGGACCCCTTCCCCGCCTCCGAGCACCCGTTTCCGCACTGGGGGGGTTTTCAGGGCTGGGGATCCCCAGGGAAGGACGAGCAGAGCTGGTCCCCGGGTTGGTCCCAGGCCAGGTGAGGACTGCGTGGCTCCGGCAATTGGAAGGGAATAAATAAATGCAAAAGCAGGGAGGTGTCATATGGCAGAGACGCCAAAACAATAACAAGACTGGGACTTCAACCAGCTCTTTGAAGAGCAGATGCTTTGATACAAGGTTGAACCCAGCATCAGACCCCAGGGCCACAGGGAGGCTTCGCGTCCGGGTGAGGCAGGAGTGGACGCTCAGGCTCAGCTCTGGCTCCAGCTCCTGGCTTTTGCCGGTCCCCGCCTCAGGGACAGCCCTGTCCCCAGGCGCTGGCCCTGCCTTTGCTATTTCCCATGCTGCTGTCAATGGGATGGAGCACACAGCTACCCCGTGACTGGATCTGGTGCCTGGGTGTGTCTTTTAACAGGGGGGAGGAGGGGAAGCAGGGTGCACCAGCAGAGGACACCATTACGGGCACCATCATGAGCAGCAGCTCTCCTTGGTGCGACCGGCCGCCTCCGGCCCGGCGAGCGGAGCAGCCCCCCACTGCTCGCCACGTGCCGGCACGGGGAAGGGAGCACCCGCACCATATGAGCAGCTACAGCTCTCCACGCTGCCAGTATCAGCAGAGGAACCAGAGCCAAGAAACAATTGCGTTGCTGTTTCCCTCTGGTATGACAGATCCATATTTACACACACACGTGCTCGCAGCATCCCCCTCCATACTATGCAAAGCCTATAGTACACTCTCCTCCTCCTCCTCCTCTCCCTTCCCGGGTGCCCAGGCCACGAGTCACACCGTGCTCTCTGCATCCACAACCCCAGCAGCCTCTGGATGAGATGCAGGGACCTTCGGATGGATGCTCTTAGGATGCAGAGCCCAGCAACTGCAGCATCCCCCACCTTGGACAGTGGAAAGGAGGGAAAGAAAGAACGGGGACCTCTTACAAGCCCAAAGGAAGAAATCCCCAGCAGGGCATTACTGGGGAGACCCAGGTGCTGTGGCAGGAGGATGCACAGTGCTGGATGCCCCGTGGGCAATGAACTCCCAGGCGCAGGGGCTGATGCTGTAAGTCAACAGTGTTTATCTGCAAGAGTCCCTCATGTCCATACGGTTTTGCAGGGCTGAGGTAGAAATACAGGATTATTTAGATTAAAAAATTTCCGAATTTTCTCCAAGTACCTTCCCCATCATTCCTAACACGTGTGCATCATAGGAGCTCGATCCAAAATACAACGGAGCTTTGCTCAGCAACTGTACACAAGATGTTTTCTGAGCAGGTAACCCCGCGGTCAAGCTCCTGAGGAGCGGCTCTGCCACGGCCTTGGTGGGACATGGCCAATGCCCACGCTGTTCTCCAGGGCTATTACACAACGTGGGTTGATGAAATCTGGAACACAACCTTTAAAGAAAGGCAATGGGGCAGGGGGAGGAGGAAACCAAACAAAAGGGACATTTTACTTTCTGCCAAGAACCAGGAGGGGAAGGAAAAAAAAAAACCCACAACCATTTGTCTATCTCGCATGGCGGGCTGGTTGCCTTGGCACCAGGGCCCAGCCGTCCCAGGGGGGAGATCGCGGCTCTGCCGTCCCGCTCTGCCGCGACGCTGCACGGGAAGGGCTCAGGCTCCGGCTGGCTCTGCCCTGGCTCCCAGCGCCGCCCCAGAGCAGCAGCGAGCCTGCAGCGCCTGGGGAAGAGACATCCACGCTGCCTCCATAAATGCTTCTTGACAAATGTTAATTCTCTGAGCTAAAATATTCATGAGGGTGGCTGCCGACGAGCGCGCTGCTCATTTGCAGCACTCTCGAGTACTCTGCAAAAGCAGCTGCTGTGTTTGCTAAAAGCTTCACCCATCCCCGGTGCCCGGGCTCGGCTGATCGCGGTGCTCGAGGCGGGATGCAAGCAGGATCTTGGCTGGGCTGTGGTGTGGGACGGAGCAAGACTCTGCTGCCCCGTCGCCACGGCCGCATCAGAGCAACATGGAGACAACCATGCCTTGGGCGAGGGCAGCAATGCAGCTTGGACAGGCAGCTCCCGGCACCAGCACGGCACAGGGAGCCCACACCAGTGCCGCCTCCACCATTCCCACCCGGAGGCCATCAGCAAGAAAGCACCAACTCCTTGAAAAGTCACAGGGAGCTCCCTCGTCAGCCGTGCGAGGCTATGCACGGCCTCCCTAAATCCCAGCTGAGGATGCACTGTGCACACACCGGGGCTGGCTCTGCTGGTGGGCTCGGCCGAGCGCTGCTGCTGGGGCGGCTCAGGCTGGTGGTGCCGGTGGGGCGGCCACGGCAT